CATTATTTTGAAATTATAGTAATACACACCCGATACGAAACTTGACATTGGGCCCATTTTGAAGTGAGTGCTCCTTCAGTGTCTTTAAATAAATGCTCTGTAGCCGTAGCTGCCATCTAGTCCCAGCACAATCTCATTGCCTTGCAAGACTCTTACCCTTACGCAATCGTCCCTTGCCCTAACCTCTTACAATGGGAAATTTGTTTTCTATCGTTAATGAATTCATCTAATCTAGACATTTCAGTCTATGCTATGCTGCCTGGCCTCTCCCTTACCCTGCTTTAGGAGTTCACCTATGAGGCAGTGGTATGCGGGGGCGTTATTCTTTTAGGGCCGGAGGACATTGCATGGGGCGAGTGGAGCATGCCACACCTCCTATCTCCAGCCATGGATGGCACTGGGTTGCTTCTGTGGCTAATGTCAGAGTTGCTGTGAGTACGCATGTGCAAGTTTTCAGGGGCTCTTTTTTTTTTTTGTTTGAGCTTTGTGGGGTGTATAGAGAGGAGCAAAATTTCTGGGCTGTGTGATCACCAGGGCTTGACTGTACAGTAGCATTTCCATTCCCACCAGCAGTCAGTGAGGGTTCTGCTTACTGTGAGATTGGAAAAAAAAATGTAGTCATCCCAATCCCAAAGCCAGACATGGTCACTCCAAATCCCCAGGCCTGATTTCTAAAGGGTAGCTTTTGTTCACTGGTAAATCTGTTTACGGCCTGGGTTATCCCAGGGAAGGATGAATCTTGGCACAACCCCGTAAGTCCAGTTTCCATGATGCCTGTGGGAAAAGTCAAGGGTAGGGTCCTCATTGCATATCTCCATGTCCTTAATTAGAAGTGCCCTGAAGAGTGGAGAACACATAAACACTTAGGACTGGCCACCCGTGGACAGGACAGTCCTTTCACAGAGGTTGGCACGCAGAGGTGAGTTCAGAAAACAGTTAGGATTGTGTCCTGAACTGCACAGCAAGGCACCCCTGTCCACTGCCTGCACTCTGTCGGGCTCTCTGGAAAGGCCACAGGCAATAAGCAGATGCCATGTCTGGTTGGTTATGCTGGTCGGTAGTGGAGAGGATCTCAGAGAGCTAGGCCTAGAGTTCACAGCCAGGTCGGAGAAAAGGCCCCCCGGTCATCAGTGCCTGGAAGGGTGGCCAGATTGACAGATAGTAACAATAAAGGGGTCCTTTAAATGAGAGAGCTGAAGCTATGTCTGGAGTTTGGGTTTTTACAAGATGAAAAGATGGTGATCATAATTGCCCGGCATTCTAAACAACACTGAGTGACCCTGAACTATGTGCACACATAATTGAGAGGGCGGATTTTATGCAGTTGAAAAGCTGAAGTTCGGGCAGATGATGAATAATTTTTAGTATAATGTGTTTCGTGAAATGCTTGGCATGGGAGTGCATGGCCTTTGGCGTTTCCTCCTCCCATTTACAGACCTACCTACAGATTTTAAAAGACAGATTCCCTGACCAGCTGGCGGCCTCTAATGTGTCTGCTGTGACACTTTTAAGCCATCCATCTCTTTGCAAAGGTGACCCCCACTATGGGAGTGGCTATCACAAGAATACATACCGTATCCCAGTCCCATTTTCCTCAAGGTAAATATTACAGTAGTGGCCTGAATTGTAAGAGGAATGGAGAAAATGAATAATAGCAGAGGTTTTTTTTTTTTTCTCCTGAGCCCCGTATATGTCAGAGGGTGGATTCTCGGGCTTTCTAAAGAACATGTCCATGTTTCTGAGACAGACCCTGGCAGATCATGCTTTGTCTTGTCCCCATTCAGAGCTGTCCTCATGCAGAAGAACTCGAGTCGGATGGAGGAAAAAAATCTTTGTAGGGATAGCAGATGTTCAGGGCTCCTTTTTAAAAACAAAGTCTGAAATGAAATGGTCCCTAGAGGCCACGGTCGTCTGAGTCATCCACGCGCCCTGGGATTTGTCTGTGGCAGGGTCATGCTGGAGGGGGAGGTGTGACGCAGTGAGACACTGTGACTTCTGCAGATCTAAGCTGATGTTGTCTGTTCCTAACATGTTTGTCGTTCAGGAAAGGCTGTTGTTCCAGATGGCGTGAGCTGAGTGGGTGTGAGCTCGTTTACTGTGAGTTCGTCTCAAGCAGTGTGGGTTAGATGACTGGGTTTTCAGTCGAGTTAAGCAGACAAATCAGAATTGACACTTCCAAAATGCCAAACTTTATTTTGCACCAACTGGAGCCAACGTATTTATTCAGATGATTTATGTACATTCGTGTTTTTATTAAGGGTGTTTATCTCGGCTCTGAGCAGCTGTCCCTGGGTCCCAGCGTGACTTGCTACCCTCAGAACTCCACAGTGGGCTCCTCCTCCCGAGAGCACATTCCCTATTACAGCTTTGTACGAGCCAATCTCTGTTCTCCTGTGGACGGATAATGGTTTGGGCATTGCTAGTAGTTTGGAAGAACCCTGGTCATGTCTTGTTTTTGACACGTAGCTGATCCCAAGGGAGTGTCCCACAGAATTTAGGTATCATCCTCACCCAAGAGTCCTGAAGCTCCACATTCATAGAGGCCTCAAACCACGTGAATTCCCAATGCTGTGTCTCATGTTGCCAGTCCGCTGGGTGGGGGTCAACACCAGATGGGTTTTCCTGAAGAGAAACCTCACAAGCCCACCCTCTTTCCTCTTTGAAAATAAGCCTGGCTGTATATGGAAAGATGTGGTTGTCATGGTGATGAGCAGCCCACTTGGGAGTACATTTGAGGAGATGTTGACATGGAGGAGGAGTGGTCCCCAGGGAAGACCTTGCTTTCCCATGGATGTCCCATACTGTAGCTCCACTTCAAGCTGTCCCAGGGGCGGTGCATAGGGAGGAGTTGACATGAACTCTAACCTAAGTTACCCAAAGGCCTAATGGCTGATCTGGAGAGGGAATGCAGCTCCCTGTGTTCCATTCTCCACCCATATCTGGTGTAAAGATGTCTCTGTCTGTCTATCTATCTATCTATCTATCTATCTATCTATCTATCTATCTATCATCTATCTGAAGTTTAGGTACCACCCCAACATGTGTGGTAGGTTCTGTTTGCTGCTTGGTAGTTGCTTTCCTGAAGGCTTCTTGGGGATGAGTAGAGCTGGTGAGCCACAGGGTGGGCCTTCAACAAAGGGGGTCTGTGCAGGAACTCATTGCGGGCATCGGGCATCTTCCATGATGGAGGAAGGTCATTGGTTAAAAAAATAAAGAAACTGCTTGGCCCTCATAGGGTAAAACATAGGTGGGAGGAGTAAACAGAACAGAATGCTGGGAGGAAGAGGAAGTGAGCTCAGAGGCCATACTCCCCTCTCCTGGGCAGACACAATGCAGCAAGCCACCAGGTCAGACATGCTGAATCTTTCCCGGTAAGACCACTGGTACACAGTTTATTAGAGATGGGTTGATCGGGATATCAGAATAGCCAGTAAGGGCTAGAGCTAATGGGCAAAGCAGTGTTTAAAAGAATACAGTTTGTGTGTTGTTATTTCGGGTAAAGCTAGCTGGTGGCGGGAGCTGGGTGGCAGAATACAACCCGCAGCTCCTACAACACTTCCGGGCAGTCACACTCTGGATACAGCCAGAGGCAGGATCCAGCACTCACCAGTGTATCAGTGCGACTTCCTGTTATTGTGTCATCATCTTTCTGCTTGCTGTCACTTCCTGGAAGTCCCATGATTTAAGGTGCTGCTCACCAGAGCTGTTTGCTTTGGGTAGTGACTTTGGTACCTTGGATGTTGCATCTGTCTTCTGCATGATGTAAAGAACTAAATGCAGAAAGGGTGAAATCGTATTGTTTGAAGTAAGGGAGGTATAGGTTGAGATCCTATTTTAAGAGGAAACCTACGTTTCATGCCATGTTTTATTTTTGTAGTAGTAGTAGGTTGATGGGTGTTTGCATTTATTCTCACTCTAGAACCTAAATTTATTCTAACAATAAGATCTTCAACTCTTGAATAATATGAGAGGAAGGTACCATCCTGGGAAAAACTATAATCACTCAAAAAAGCTAAAATGGATTCAACATCTGACCCAGTGGTTGTAACTATGGGTGTGGGTCCAAAGGAAGCAAAAACAAAGTCTCAAAGACGTAGCCGTACATCCAAGTTCCCAGCAGCATTAGTTGGAGGAGTCAAAGAATGGAGCAACCCAAGCTGCCTTCAATGGATAAATCATACAACCTGTGGAACACCGTTCAGCCTTAACAAGGAAAATTCTGACAGTGTAACATGGATGGATCTTGAGGACATTGTGCTAAGTGAAAGAAGCCAATCACCAACAGATGAACACTTTGAAGTTCCATGTATTCCAGGCATTTAAAGTGGTCCAATTCATAGATCCAGAAAATAGAGTGACTGGGCACTGCCATGTAAAGACGGCTGAGGAGTGGGGGATTGTAGCTTCACGGTCAGGTTGCTTTTAAACATTCACTTTTATTTTTACTTATTGATATGGGTTTGTATGTGTGCATATGAGAGAGCCCATGAAGGTCAGAAGAAAGTGTCAGATCCCCTGGAGCTGGAGTTAAGGACAGTTGTGTGTGGCCCAATGTGGGTTCTGGGAACTGAATTAAGGACCTCTGGACAAGCAGGACATATACTTAACTGCCCGGCAGTCTCTAGAGCCCAGGTTTCAGTCCTGTGTTATGTATGAAGTATGGCTTGGAATGGATGGTGATGATGGCGTACAAAAACTTGGATATACTTTATGCCATTCAACTGTACACTGAAAATAGTTCAGGTGGTAAACTATGTATTTTATTAAAATAAAAGTAATAGTAAATAATAAAAGTTAAGTAATTAGAAAACACTTTAGAAATACAAAGGTATTATATTTATTGTATAATAGTTTAATGGCATGTGTATGAATACTTGGACATATTTATATGTGTCCCTATACATGTGTAAGATCGAATCTCATTGAATATCCAGGTTTTTTTTTTAAAATCTCAGCTCAATTTTCTACTATATAAACATAATGAACGTTCCCATTTCTAGGTTTGCAATGGCTTGGAGCAGCCGAGGAAGCAGCAACGCTCTGATCTCAATGGACCCGCTGACAATAACAACATCCCAGAGGTAATTTTTCTCCCAAAGATGAGAGTTCTGGACCAGAGTTCTCATGATGAAGCTGCTGGCTGTGTTATGGTCAGCTCACTCTCCTAGTTTTAGGATCTGGGGAGAGGAAGTTCAGATCAAGTTTAGTTTGGGACCACTGTCTGAGGAAGAGATGTCGGTTCCCTGTCCTGAGAAGAGGGGACTCACATATCCTGAGCATTCACAACTGCACTGTGTACTGTTGGTGCACTGTTGATGGTGTGGGAATCCCTGGTGCTCCCTATGATAGCATGGGGATCCCTGATGCGCCTCAATGATGGTGTGGGGATCCCTAGTACCTCGCAATGATGGTGTGCAGATCCCTAGTGCTCCCCGATGATGGTGTGGGGATCCCTGGTACTCCCTGACGATGGTGTGGGGATATCTCATGCTCCCTGATGATGGTGTGGGGATCTCTGGTGCTCCCTGATCTTGTAGAAACTCAAGGGTAGCCTGGATTTCTCACAAGCACACTCATTATTTGACAGGCTTCCCTGTGCTGTATAGGTGGTCTATGAGCAACCCTACCCACCAGATACTAGCAACCACTACTCTGTACCTCAGTTATGACAACAAAATGTCACCAGACTTTGACCAATGTGTCCTTGAGGACAAAATCATCGTGATTGAGAGCCAGTGGTCTAAACCAATAACATGGCTATCTAATTCAAATTAGGGCTTTGGCAAATTACCTTTTCTCTCTGGGGTAGTTGAGACACGATTGTCTAGCCCTGTTGAGATAGTTGTAGCCATCCCATCTCCTTTATTGTGGTCCTTTAGACATGCCCAGGAAATTCTCATGCCCAGTGGTTTGAGAACCATTGGGCTGACTGCTCTTGAAGCTCCTTCTAACTATGATGTGCTAAAATAGGGGTTCTTAAAGACTGGCTTGTGGGCTTCTGTGAGCCTTCTTAGCATCCTATGTCCCCCATAAGACCATCTTGCTGTGTGGATCTGATTTCTTAGGAACACCAGCCATTCGTGGGGTTAGACTGTTCCAGCCCAGGGTGGTATACATCTTGAGATAGTTCTTGTAAGTCAGCCTTTTGCAGTTAATTGTGTTTCATTCTCTTTGTTATTTCTCAACAGACAAAGAAGGTGGCATCGTTTCCAAGCTTTGTGGCTGGTAAGTGACTTCAAATTGGATCTCTCGGGAGGCGGTTAGACTTTATGGAAAAGCAAATGGTCCTTTTGTGCGTGGGTTTCCTCCAGAGACTCTTCCTTGGAAAGCCCTGTTTCCAACAAGGTGCCCGCAGGCATTTGACTCGTGGGGTGCTGCATTCGCCCACTTGGGAGAGGGGCTTCCAGCTCATCTTGCCCGATTCAGTGTAATGAACAGCAAGGACCATTCATGTGTTTTTCCCCTCACTAACTGCATCGCCAGTGACCCCGAGGGCTGGCTTAATGCATTGAGAGGTGTCCATCTGAGCAGCTCGCTGGGATCTACTTTTCATCAGCGTGGTTATAATGATGTCCAAATGCTGGCTGTTCCTTTTCACGCCCTCTTTCACTTCCCCTCCCACCCTTTCCAGGAGTAGCAGTGCCTGTTCATATTCCAGAAAGAGCAAAGCGGACTGTCTTGATTGACTGGTTCTGTGTCAGTGTTTGGGGTAGGGGCGCTCCTACTCAGCTTTTGATGAAGCTAGCTTACAGTGGCCTCACGTATCAGGTGTCCTTGGGTCCAACATCAGAGCAAAGAAGTAGGCCTTTTCTCTGCCAGGAGAATGTTTCTTGCCTCTAATGTGTTATAATAAACAATGTGAGTTTTATTAATTTTTTTCAAATAAGCTGATAATTAATTCCTATGAATATTTATGGGAGCAAAGTAAATGGATCTTCAGAAACAAATGGCTTCAAACCTTTGCCATTCTGCTTTGCATTGATGGTAAATAACAGAAGCCGTCAAGTTCTCCTTTAAGGATGAGCTCAAACCAGGCTTAACCAGTTTCAACTGGTTCACTGTGGTGACTGTTATTACCAGCTTAATGCCATTTAATTTAGAAGAGTATCAGTTTTAATTGTGAGGACTTATCTAAAACCCAAGTAGACGACTCCGTGTTGCCCAACACAAATAGACTCAAATGGGTTCTGTCCAGCAGTTCACTTGTGGACTTGCGGCTTTAGGTGTATTTTTACTGGCTCCAACTGGCTCTAGCTGATTTCCATTAGATCACAGCAGGCGATTGTAGTCACCTGGCTGACTGTAGTTCTTCCAGGGTCTTATGATTGACAGGAAGAGACCACACCCCTCTTGCCACTCCCCAGTGGGGCATGGCTGGCTTCTGATCTGAAGGAGGCAACATCATTGAAAAATATCGCATTTCTCTGCACCACTTTTCTTGTTGGACTGAAGCTAAAATGGACATGACTTGGTCACAACCATTCAAGGCTATGGGGCCTTCTGCACCTAAGAAATGGATTTGTCAATAAATCATGGCTTCATTTGGAAAGAATTTCAAACTGTCATGGTTAGCAGAGACAGCGCAGCAATCTTAACTCTGCTAGGAGGCAGGGGCGCATGCCAGCAGCTGTCCACGTGTTCCATCTGACTGTGTCTTGGTACTTTCTAGAAGGCTCATGTGTCTGGAGCTCCTGAGACTGTGTTCCCCCACATTAGAATGAGATAGAGCCGTCCCACCAGCTCAGATAGATAAACTGCTTGTGGGCCGCTCACATTAGTATGGAAAGCTCACACTAGTGTGGTCAACTCGCAAATTAGCCCCAATTTAGGAGAGAAACTAACTGGTCATTATGAAAAGAGGAAAACCTTAATCAAAAGCCCATCTCTTCATCCAAGAGAATTCACATCCAACAAACGTGACCAGCAGTCACAAAAAATGACAGAGAGATGATGATGAGTTATCATAGAAAAACCTGGACTCCAGTGAATTGAAGGGCAGCACCTGGTGGTGTTAGACACCTTTACCAGCTGGGATGGGCGTGTGTGCAAGGACCCACCTGACATTTGCTTAGCAGAGAAGCATGTTAGTGGTGTGAAGCAATCTTGAGGGAGCCACTGACCACTCCATGACTGTAATGTCAGGTTAGCTTCCTGGCTTCGCTTGGTCTGGTCTTCTGGTTTGTAACCTCATTGTCTGGATGGCCCCGGGCATTTTTTCCTGTTCCAGCAAGGAAAAGAAAGAGAAATGCCCAAATCAACCATTGTCTCTCTCTTCACATTAAGGAATTTCAGTACCACAAGTGAGTAAAGGGGCTAGGAACGTGTCTCAGCTATTTAAGTGCCTGCCGTGTAAGCATTAAGACCTAAGTTCGGATCCCCAACACCCATGTAAAAAGCCATGTGTAGTGATACATGTCTGTAACCCCAACACGTTTTGGTGAGCTTGAAGACAAGCAGATCCTGGAAATTCATTGGCTACTAGCTTACTCAAATTCATGAGCTCTGGGTTTGATGTTCAAAAGTAAGATGGAATGCGGTCATGGAACATGCCCAACATTGACTTCTGGCCTCCACATACATGTGCCTGCACGAACACATACACATTATACATACACAAGAGTGAATTTGTTATCTGCCTGAGATTTGTATTTTCCATTATCTTTCTAAGCCTGTTCACCAGGCTGCTAAGAAATAGTTTTTCAGCTGTACCAATGAGCAGCATTGTTATGATGAAGATACTTTGATTAGCAGACCGTGTCTAGGTGGGGGAATGTCATCTCTATCAGTGAGCACCATTGCTGTGATCAAGAATGGCTCTGTATCTAGGTGCGGGGATAAGAATCATTGAGGGTGTCACTCTTCTAATCAGGGTGTCTCTTGGAGGGCCCCTGGAAGCTCCGTGTAAGTGGTATGAGAACTACATGACCGTGAGAACTCTTGACAAGAGGAGGTTTTAAAACCGCACGAGGTCCATACGCTCTTCATAGTGGGAGCTTTGTACCCTCACAGCTGAGCCATCCAGCAGCCCTGTTAGACTAGCTATGGACATAATTCTGTGTAGATTCTGTGGTAACCTTTAAGGCCAGAAGAATCCTCACACTGTTCAGATTATTTTTTAAAGTTTTCGGCTCGGCTAGAACTTTTATTTTTTTTAAGTGAATCTGATCCATCTATAAATTTTTTGGTGTAAAGATACAAACAGAGGTTGCGTTTTGAGCACCCTGTACTCAAGCAGTTGACTGGCTGGCTGTGGGGGAACATCATTGGTGTGGAGGGTACTACCTTTGCTGTATTTTCTGGCTCTGGGTCCATTTGGGGATGGTTCCCAGGTCCCAACTGAAGCTACTTTTCTCAGGATTTACAAACATTTATAACGTGCTGGAGCTTGTTTGTGCTCCTACATCCCCACCCCCTCCTGCTGCCATCCTCTCCCCGCCCCCCTTCCCATCTTCCCTGGAGACTTGTCTGTGGCTATTTTTCTATGTACATTTTTGGGTCAGCTTATCTAGGTACATACACAAAATGCCCTCTTGGCGTCTTTATTTGGTGTCCATTCAGTGTGTCTAGTTAGAGGGGAAGTTCCAGCTCTAGAGCACAGGCGTCTCAGATGTCCAGAGAGGCTTCTCGCCCCATCAGGTCAGACGTGTTTATCTTTAAAGCTTGTCTGGAAGCTCTGACACATGTCCTTTTCCTTTATTCTTTGGTCCTTAATCCCGCTTGTTGTTTTGGTAAATGTTATCTTTTTGCTTCATTACATTTTCCCGACTTGTTTGTAGGTACAAAGAAAGCTATTGATTTCTTTTCTATATTAAATTCTAAACCATTGGTTCGGTCAGTTCTCTTAGTTTTATTTTCCCCTAAATAAATTTTTATTTGTCTTCTTGGATCTTCCCTTGCTTAGAATCACACCATCTACAAATTAGAATCCCTTCCACTCTCCTTTCTTGTTTTCCATAAATTCTTCCTCTTATCTCATTGAGTTGTGCAGAAAATAAGAAACGGTGTTATATAATAATGAGGTATGCCCACTAGTTTTTTTTAAGATGTAGCATCCTTTTAAAAGATCTGTCCTTTTGGTTTGCTATAAAATGTTCGCACATACAAAGCTTAGAAAGTCATACTTATTGCCATGTGCCCTCCCTGGCTCAGGCTCACAGTGCCTACCTCCTTGTGACCCATAGTGCTTAACCTCCACCCCCACACTCCCCAAGTTCTCTAAGGCAATCCCACTTTTCCTGTAAGTAGTTCACCTATGTATCTCTAAAATATGGGAATGCTATTAAAAACCATTGCACTGCCATTGCCACAAATGAAGCTATCGGTCATTTCTGTGCCGGCTAGTGTTTGCATTTGCCCATGCACAGTGTCCCTCTCAATAGAGATCTAAACCAGGTCCCCAGTGAGCCTGGCTGATACATTTTATAATTGTCCTCGATTTGGTTTACATTTGCAGATGACGGTCCATCATTGAGGGAAGTCAGAGCAGGAACTCCAGCAGGGCCTTGAATCAGAAGCCACGGAAGAATGCTGTCTGATGGCTTGCTCAAAGACCCTATGCTTGCCGGGCGGTGGTGGTGAGCGCCTTTAATCCCAGCACTCGGGAGGCAGAGGCAGGTGGATCTCTGGGAGTTCAAGGCCAGCCTAGTCTACTAGAGCTAGTTCCAGGACAGGCACCAAAGCTACAGAGAAACCCTGTTTCGAAAAAAAACAAAAAAACAAAAAAAAATGACCCTATGCTTACCCAGCTTTTATATATAGTCCAGGTTCACCTGCTTGGGGAAGGTACTGCCTATAATGAGCTGGGTTCTCCTCCATCAGTTAGCAATCAAGACAAAATCCCACAGACATGCTCACCAGTCAATCCAATCCAGGCAATTTCACCCTTCCAGATGATTGTAACAAGTTAACAAAGCTCACAATGATTGCTTGCCTTTTCAAAGTGGTCTTGATGACACATTGTGGAAGTCTCTGTATCATTCATCCAGTGACTGTTTATTTGCACTCTGGGATCGGTTGATTGTATCCTGATGGTGTTCTCTGCAAGGCCCTCTGCCCATGTCTAGGAAAATGGTCAGGGTATAGATGGAGGGCCAATCATAATAAGTTTATTTCGGTAGAGCTTCTTAGATAGTATTACATCTGGCTGTCCCTCTTTCCTTCTTTTTATCAGCAATAAATTATCACTGTCGAGATCCATTTATTGGTTATTCTGATAGAATCATTTG